CGAGGTGCCCATGGGTCATCGACGGGGGATCCTATCCGGGGAGGCGGGTGGTGGTCGTTGGACCGAGTGCGGCGGCCAAGGCAGAGTTCCCTGGTCGAGCGGCTACATCGTTCGCCTCTATGGCTGGTGGGTCAGCGTGATCGGTCTCCGACGTGCTCTTAGGCGATGGTTGGTGGCGGTGGCTATGGATCTGATCCCAGCCCAAATCCATCGCAGTGTGGCCCTTGCCTGGCTGGAGACGCATGGAGGGATTGGTGAGGACGGTTGACGGAACTCGGTCGGCATTCCGGCGCGTGCATGCGTCTTCACGGAGAGGCTCCGCGTGGATCTAGTCAGCTGCGGAGCCGGATAGCGCGAATGCCGGTGAAAATCGTTCTGACTTCGGTCATGACGGCGTCTTTTACGTCATTTCCTTATCGAGAAATCGTCGTTGTGATCAATGTCACCTCGCCCGTGATGCTCCGAGGGAAACTCTAGGTCTGGGTCTCCCGGATCGGATGATCTCAGCGCCTTTGGTGCCATTTTCCCTCCTGAGGGCATCATTTTGGAGCAGGTGCTAGCTGGAGAAGCCAAGAGGTAGAGAGGTGTTTTATCTACCGCATCAACGGCGGCGGGTCTCGGCGGCGTGGCACAGTGGAGTCCCGGGGGGGACATGCATGTGGATGGACGCACACAGGGTGGTGGCGATGGCTAGCGTCATGGTGGCATTGAAGACAATTAGGCTCGACAAGGTCAATGTGTTGATCCCTCTTGAAGATGGGACGACGAAAGTTGGTGGCGGAGGATTCTAGAGTATGCGCATGCGGTGCGCGTTGAGGGTCTGCTAGATCGATTAGTGCTTTCGACTCCCAGTGGGGTGGCTTGGCAAAGCCACCAGTTTAGATGGTGTGTGTTGGTGCGAGGTCAGGGCATGTCATTAAGCTAGCAGGTGTTGATGAGTGATATTTTTACACTCATTTCATCTTTATTTAAACTGAGATATTTCAATTAAAAAGAGATATTCGCTCCGATATTGGTACTAATGACTAATGAATGCAAAGGATTTCACAAATCCTCTCTTTGATGTGTTTCCACGAGAAATGGGCTAAAAAGGGAAGAAATCATGTGTGGAAATGAAATGGAAGAAGAATGGGCGAGGCAGGAATCACCAGGAGACATCTGCGCGGAAACAACAAAAAAGATGGTGTTCCATATGGCATGGATTCCGAGGCAGATCGTCCAACCCAACAACTTTTGTTAAAGGGACTCGTCGAAATGTGAACAGAGAGACAAGCACGGAGCACGGAAGCCAGAACCTCTTCATCATCATCCTCATTCGCAAACCCTAGCCGCCGCCATCTCCATAGCTATCTCCACCACCACCATAGTGCTCATCCATCCCATTCATACTTGTAGTAGTGCATCGCACTAGGCATCCATTGTAAAACATATTGCAATCAATAGATCTCAAGACGTGTTCTTCAATGTTTTCTTCCCGCGATCTGATGTCCATGTGTGAGTAGTTCGGTAAGGTATGGGTTGAGGCATAAGCCTTGCAACCCGAGGTATTTGTTGATGGGATCAATCGAAGACTTTGATATAACGTCCCATATGTGTGAAATAAAATTGTTCAGTGAAGATGTCTCATGTCTTGTCCGTGATCTTCATCCCTGCAGCTACCTAAAATCATGGAGATCGAGCAACGTGAGGCCCGGAGCAAGGAGACCGTGAAGTGTTATACTGAACACCGGTGACGGTAAGGTTTAATAGGGTAACATGGATCATATCCTTGGGGAGAAATGAGGTGTAGTCATTAAACGCCCAAAGCTCTTGTCTGATTTCATTATCTTAATTTTCGAGGTAACCCCGTGCGACGGATAGGACCTGCGGTAGGACAACTGATTCTTGATGCAGGACTCGTGCAGGTTGATACGTCTCCAACGTATCTATAATTTTTTATTGTTCCATGTTGTTATTTTATAATCATTTTATAGTCATTTTATATCATTTTTTGGTAGTAACCTATTGACATAGTGCCAAGTGTCAGTTGTTGTTTTTCCATGTTTTTTACATCACAGAAAATCAATATCAAACGGAGTCCAAATGCCACGAAGCTTTACGAAGAATTTTTATGGGACAAAAGGAACACAACGGGCCCTGGCTGCGCCTGGGGGTGCCCCGAGGGAGGCACAACCCACCAGGGCGCGCCAGGAGGCCCAGGCGCGCCCTGGTGGGTTGTGCCCACCTCGGGTGCCCCCGGACCGTCTCTTTGCTCTATAAATACCCCAATATTTCCAGAACCCTAGGGGAGTCGACAAAATATTCATCCAGCCACCGCAGAGTCCAGAACCACCGGATCCAATCTAGACACCATCTTGGATGGGGTTCACCATCTCCATTGGTGCCCCTCCGATGATGCGTGAGTAGTTCTTTGTAGACCTTCGGGTCCGTAGTTAGTAGCTAGATGGCTTCATCTCTCTCTCTTGATTCTCAATACAATGGTCTCTTGGAGATCCATATGATGTAACTCTTTTGCGGTGTGTTTGTTGGGATCGATGAACTTTGAGTTTATGATCAGATCTATCTTTTTATATCGATGAAAGTATTTGAGTTTCTTTGATCTCTTTTATGCATGATCTCTTATAGCCTTGTATTTCTTCTCCAATATTTGGGTTTTGTTTGGCCAACTTGATCTATTTATCTTGCAATGGGAATAGGTGCTTTGTAGTAGGTTCGATCTTATGGTGCTTGATCCCAGTGACAGAAGGGGAACCGACACGTATGTATCGTTGCTACTAAGGATAAAACGATGGGGTCTATCTCTACATAGATAGATCTTGTCCACATCATGTCATTGTTCTTATTGCATTACTCCATTTCTCGATGAACTTAATACACTAGATGCATGCTGGATAGCGGTCGATGTGTGGAGTAATAGTAGTAGATGCAGGCAGGAGTCGGTCTACTAATCTTGGACGTGATGCCTATATAATGATCATTGTCTGGATATCGTCATGAGTATTTGAAGTTCTATCAATTTCCCAACAGTAATTTGTTCACCCACCGTTTGCTATTTTCTCGAGAGAAGCCACTAGTGACGGCCCCCGGGTCTCTTTCTCATATATTTGCCTTTGCGATCTACTTTTTTCTTGCATTTATTTTCAGATCTATTAATCCAAAAATCCAAAAATACTTTGTTGCACTTTATTTTATTTGCGATATATTTATTCAATCTATTACAACTTTTTCCCGTCATGCACCAATTTCTGGCACCGTTACCCGAAAGGGATTGAGAACCCCTTTAACACGTCGGGTTGCGAGTATTTGTTATCTGTGTGTAGGGGCTATTTACGTTGTGTTGCTTGGTTCTCCTACTGGTTCGATAACCTTGGTTTCATATTTGAGGGAAATACCTACCACCATTGTGCTGCATAAGAGCAAAATAGTGATGCCATAGATGTGAATTTTATCTCTCGAAATAATTTCAACAACAATGCTTATAGAGGTAATTTTAATCCTAGGCCTTTTCCTAGTAATTCCTCTAATAATTATGGTAATTCCTATGGAAATCAATCTTATAATAATAATAGAAACACCTCTGATCTTGAGAATAATATTAAAGAATTTATCAATACACAAAAAGTTTTCAACACTTCCATAGAAGAAAAATTGAGTAAGATTGATGATTTGTCTAGAAGTGTTGATAGAATTGCTCATGATGTGGAAAATCTCCAGATGAAATTTTTTGTGC